GTAAATGTAAACGAATCTGACAAATTTAAAAAAAATTAGTTTTTAAATGTGTGGCAAAATTTTTCTATATTAAATATATTACCAAGAACTTATTTACTATTTTGTATGGGCCTTTTATTTTTGAAAATACCAAAAAAAATATTTAAAATATCAATCAAAAAACAAAAGAAAGTCAATTAAAAAAAAAGTTGTCACTGTTTACTTTTACCCCTATTGTATTGGGGTAATTGTAAACGGCAACTATGAAAACCACGTGAACAAATGAGAAAATTTGTGGGGGAATAGTATACATTTAAATTACTGAATTATAAAATGCGATCCTATGCATTTTAGGCGGATGTTTACATTTACCCCTAAAAATAGAAGACGTTATTTTATTATTGCTTTTTATTTAGCTATTCATTAAAACTGCAATTGGGATACAAAAAAAAAATCTTTTTACTTTAAAAAAATAAACTAAAACATTTAGATGTATTTTAACACTTAAAAACCTAGGTAAAAACATCGGTAACTTTTTATTATTGGTAAAGGAAAAAACAGGTTGATCTATTGCAAAAAAGTATTTTCTAAAACTGGGATATGTTTTTCAAATTGATAATAGATCCTTTCTCCTTTCATTTTTATTGTGGGAAAAGGCAAAACACCTAAAATTTGATCATGATTGACAAAACTTATATCGCTTGAATTGACGGCAATAAATTTTTTAGTTTCATCTAGGTGTTAAGCCTACGACTTCAACATCATTATCTATAATATTTTCAACAGAACAAACATATTTATATACCGTTGTGTTCCTTTTTCCACCTTTAAATTGAACCAGTCTTAATCTTGGTATTACTTGTTTTACTATTGTAGTAACGTTTTCATTTTTTTCTGGGGACTTAAAAAACAACTTGGTAAGTTTATGTGGTGCATCTAGTATATTAGTCGCCATACAACTAGATGTACAAGTTTCAGTGGTATGGTGTTTACAAGATTGGTTTCTTTGTTCATCTGTTGGAGTAACCACTCTCACCTCTTGAGACCTGATTGATTCGGCGTGGAGTTATGAGTTATGAGTTATAAAACTCTTTGTAAACCAGGTGAAGAATTGGGGCTCTTCCATCCAACCATTTTTTGATACTGCATACAGGGTTCCAGGATATGCTTTATAAGACACCCAGCGGGCTTGCACACCAGCGCCCTTAAATACAATGAGAGGAGGAAGCACTGACCCATCTGCTCCCACACATGCGAGGACCGTAGTGGATTCTCGACCCGATCCCCCAGAAACGCGGCTTAAAGGCTTTCCCTTCTGCCCAATAGCTTTTAATCGACTTGGGTCGTTTTTGAAGCCTGTCTCATCTGCAATAAAAACAAAACATGCTTGTTCCAGAGACGTTATTCCGAATCGATCAAATGTGCTGCTTAAATCTTCATAGAATTGTAAATAAATAAATAAATAAATAAAAACGACTTTATTAATTCCTTAACCAAAAATTACATAAACCAAACGAATATGCTTCAGTATGGCGAAGTCTAGCTTTAAGCTATTCTACTCAACCACTAGAAGCCAAAAGAAAAAAAGTACATGACGGCAGGTCGAACATAAATTGTCAACAATTATGTAAGTACATATACATATATATAGATAGTTATCATATAGATAAGGAAACAAAAAAAAACGTACAAGGAGCACACAATATTTCAAAAATCAGTTCACAATTATGTTGCAAATAGGTATTCTTTCAGTTCTTTCTTAAATTTTTTCATTGTTAGATTTTTAAATGTACTGGGCAGCGAGTTATATGATGCTATTGCATTATAAACATAGCTTCTTTTAAAAAGCGCAGTTCGATATTTAGGGATTGACAATAGGTTATCACTCCTTAAATTAATACATGAACGGGTATTTTGACGAGTTATAAATTTAGATTTTAGAGGGGTAGAGTGGGGACTTTGCAAAAGCTGATGGGTAAAATTCATCAAATGAAGTTTCATACGCTTGTCCATTTTTAACCAAGATAATTCCTTTATTTTTTCAGAGACATGATCGTATTTTCTAAGGTTAAAAATAAGTCTACAGCAGTTATTTTGAATTTTTTGTATTCGAGTTTTGCACGCAACATCTAAGCATGTGCCGTAAACAAAATCACAGTAGTTAAAATTTGATAAGACTAAACTTTCACATAAATTGCGTTTCAATGTTTTATTAAGAAAATGTTTGTTTGAGTAAAGAAGTTTAAGGCTTAGAAACGATTTTTGTATTAATTTTTTAACATGCTCACGAAATCTTAGCTCAGTATCTAGTATGATTCCAAGATTTCTAGCGGAGTCGACGACTTTTAGAGGAGTGTTATCAATTTGCAAAGTAAGCTGCTGTTTTAAAGTAGATACTTTATCTTTTGTACCAAACAAGAGGACATATGACTTACTGGCGTTTAATTTAAGGTTATGTTCTAGTGAAAGCTTGTTAATTTTATTTAGATCATCATTAATTAGTAGTTCGGCATTGTTTGCGTTTTTTATATCAAAATGACCATAGAGCTGGCTATCATCGGCGTAGGCCTGGGCCTTGCAGTGTTCTATCGCCTTTAAAATACTTGTTGTGTAAAGCAAGAAGAAGAGAGGCCCCAGAACGCTACCCTGAGGAACGCCAGACAGTATGTTCATTTTAGAGGACGTTTTTCCATTGCAAGTGATACGTTGAGATCTGTCGTTCAAGTAAGTCCTTGATAGTTTTAAGGCAAGTTCGTCAAACCCATAATATTTAAATTTGGCCAGCATAAGTCTGTGGTCAATGGTGTCGAACGCTTTGGAAAAATCTAACAAAATTAGCGCTGTAACTTCACCCTTATCGTAAGCCTCCATCACATCACTTATTACTGTTGCAAGGGCTGTTGCTGTGGAAAATCCCTTTCTAAAACCGCACTGAAAATTAGGAAGAATTTTTTTCACCGTTAAGTAGTCATAGATTTGCTTGTATAAAACTTTTTCAAGAATTTTTGAGATAGCCGGTAAGATACTGATTATACGTAGGTCTGAGAATTCTTCCGGGTTATTTTTTTTCGGCAGAGGTCTCCCCACAGCAACTCGCCATATTTGAGGAAAATAGCCTTGCTCAATACAAGAGTTAATTATATTCGCAATATAAGGAATAATAAAAGGACAACAGTATTTTATCATTTGTACTGAGATTTCATCCACGCCACAGGCATTGGAGCGAAGACTACGCAAAATTAAAGCTACTTCTTCGACAGTGGTCATGATAAAACTAAAAGAGTTTGAGTTTTCAAAGTAATTTGATTCAAAAAAATCAATTTGATTTTGTCCATTATTAGATGAGGTCTGCAAAAAACTCGCAAAATAATTATTAATGTCTTGAGGGTTAGATAGATGATAGGGAATTTCACTTGATTTCTTTGTTTTTAAATTAAAGTCACTTAATGCCGACCACAGCTTTTTTGGATTTTTTTTGTCAGCTAGTAAGTCAAGGTAAGCTTTTTTTTCTCTTCGTAGACAAGTAAGGGCGAAGTTATGGAGGTCTTTATACTTACTGTAGTCATTTTCACGTTTAGTTTGTTTAAACTTCCGCAAAGCTCTATCACGTTCTTTCATTATTAATTTTAAGTTCGGTGTTAGCCAAGGTGCTTTAGGTTTACTAATTCTTATTTCTTTTATGGGGGCGTGACGATCAAATAATGATATGATAAAATTATTAAAAATATTAACTTTTTCGTCAATGTTATTTTCATTTAATAATAAGTGCCAAGAAATTTGCCTCAAGTCGCGGTCAAACTCCTCCTGGCTAAAGCTATCAAAAGATCTTACTTTAATGAATTTTTGAGAAATTCTCGGTTTTATTAATGAAAGATCACAGTAAGTAAGGCTGTGATCTGATATATGATCAGTGTTTATGACTCCACTAGAGGCTACTAATTCTTTTGTTGACACAAAAATGGGGTCCAGCAACTTGCTTGAACTTTTAGTGACTCTAGTTGGTTCATTAATAATTTGATATAAGTTATAAGATTCCAAACAAAAACTTACTGGGTTATTTAAATTTAAAAAATCGGTATTAAAATCCCCCAAGCATATGACCTCATCAAAAGTTGGACACAAAAAAGAAAATATATTTTCACAATCTTCTAAAAAATTACTCATATTTTTGTCTTTAGGTCTGTATAACGTTCCAATAGCAATATTTTGTAAGTTGGTGTTAATTTTTAGGAATAAATACTCTAGGTTTTCATTGACAGAAAATTCGAGTTGAATCATTTGACAAGCGTATTGATTCTTGACATAAGCACCCACTCCCCCTCCCCTTCCTACTCTGTCGTTTCTAAAAAATGTGTAACCAGGTATATTAATGACATTTGAGCTAATATTTACGTCTAACCACGTTTCACTAAGCATAAGAACATCAAAGTTGTGTTCTTGAACCAAAAATTTAAAGTCAGTAAAGCCCGTGAATACAGATCTAATATTTAAATGACCAATTTTCATTATGAAAGTTAATTTAAAATAAAAGAACTAAAGGAAGAAAACCAAATTAAGAATAGAATACAAATAAAGTATGCTCAAGTTTTTGATTCCTATTAAGTAAATGTGTTTTTATTATATAATATGAGAAAAACTAACAATATCTATCAAAAAGGTTGATAAACAAAATACAAATAAAATATACTTAAGTTTTGATTCCTATTATTAAATGAATGTGTTTTTTTTTATTGTATTTACAATATAACAATATATATATATGTAACGATAAACAAAAAGGTTGATAAACAGAGCAGAACAGTTGCGTGCATAGGTGTTAACCAGTAGAAAAAAAAGTTAAATATTTAATAAAAAGTTGTGACCAAGTTAAAATAACCTAGTAAATTATGTTAGCATAGTTGCAATATTCATAACATACAAATAATATACTGGAGAAATAGTTGTTGAAAAATAACAGCAGGAATATAACATCATGTAGGTAACTTACATTTAATGCCGCAATAGAAAATTTACTATTATGACTATTCATCACTATTTTGGTTGATATCACTAATATTATTGTCAGCACTATTTCGGTTTGTATCACCATTATTACCACTACCCCCAGGATTGGATAATTTGTATAAATCACTCTCTGAACTAATAAGCATTTTCTTATTTTGCACACTTGCGTAAATACGCCCATTAAAGGTCCAAGACGATTTTCCCATTACTTCCCTTACTTTTTTAAAAAGATCTAGGCTTTCCTGGGTTAACATTTCCGTAATGAAAATTTGCGAGCCTTTTAGGTGTTTCTTATTAAAGAACACCTGATCTCGAATCCACTTAGTACAAAACTGAACGGCTAGTGGCCTTGGTTTTTTATTTTGGCTGTTTTTAAAACCAATGCGATAACAGTAATTGATGTCCCGTTTATTTATATCTGTGATTTTCAATTTATTATTAAAAATATCTAGTAAACAATCGTAAAGATCGTTTACGTTTTCATTGATTCCGCGCATTACAATGACGTTTGACAATTGCCTGGCCTGACTGCGCTTGCTCTCTCTCTCAATTAACTCAACATTTTCTTTTAAGGACTTCATTTCACCCTGTAAAACAGCAAGGGATGAGTTAATCATGGATTCAAACATCTGGAACTTCACTATAAAATCCCCGGGAACCGCTGATGTAACAGGAGTTGGAGAAATTGCTGCAATTTCGTTTTTAAAACTATCAAGGCCGGTCTTGAACTCAAGCGCCAACTGTTCGACACGTGCACTTACTTCTTTCACCGTCGGATTTTTAGACATTTTGGCAGTATTTCACAGATATTCCACGTTCCAACAATTAAACACTAATTAACTATTAGCTGCTTCAAAAATTATACTTTTCTGGGCACTGTAAATTACTATTTTTTACTATTTCTCTGGAGCCACCGCAAACAACAGCCTACTCGCCCAACAGCGCCATCTACTTTTACATCGGGCCTTCTGGCGTCTTTGCGACATTTTTGTAGGTGTTCGGGATTTTTTAAAGATAAAAGATTTTTATGCCGTTTTGAAAACTAGTAATACCAATCCACACCTGGGCGGTCATTAACAAACGGGGTTGACATGTTATTAGATTTTACATACTCCTGAATGAGATCCAAAAGTTCGCCCTTATCACACGGAAATCCAAATTTTGCGCGAGCCAACAAACAATCGGCGATTTTCTTTTCTGTGTCATAAGTAAATGCTGTTTTACGACCTCTCCCTGAAGAATCCATGGCAGTTTTTCTTCCATTCAGCCGTTGGGAAATAACGGCAATTGGTACATTGTAGTGTTGTGCCTGCCGGTAAGACATATTTCTGTTCTGCACATCTCGAACGGCATTTTCAAGGTCTTCTTTGGAATAATTTGGCCCATTAGTTTTGGGAATATACTTTCAAGGCATCTAAAATAAATTTATTGACTAAAACTTACGTTTACATTTACCCCAAAAGTCGGTTTACATTTACCCCAATCACGTGTTTACATTTACCCCCTATACACTTTTATTAGGGGTAAAAGTAAACACTCTTTAAAAATTATTAAAGTAAGATATCCAGTTTATAAGCATTATTTGGCACAATAGTTAAGGTATTTGCAACCCTTCCAAAGATATTTTATAGTACTTACCTTTAGAATTAAATTTTCACCTGAATATTTACACAGTAGCCACAAATGAAAAAAAAGGATTATTGTTATGGTGACAATAAGAACACAAAACAAACTGAAGACGCTTGCGTAAACACCTGTTTTTTTGAATAGTATGAGAGGAGGGGATGGTTCTGGCGGCAAATTTAAAAAGAAAATTTGTGGTGTTTACAATTACCCCTGTTTACATTTACCCCTCTTGACCCTATATTTTTACATTTTAAAATTCTGAGTAAAATTACTGTACCATGTCCTATACCTAAAGTGAATAGTTTTCGAGTTATTATTTTTTTTAGTTAAAATTTGACAAATGCGCGTCAATAAAAAATAGCCTTTTTTGCTATTTGGTTTGCGGGAATGGAGGTGTAATTTTTGGAATCTTAAAAAAATGTTTAAAAGATTTTATATTTATAAATAACCCAAGAAAACCCAGGGCAAATTAGGATAACTTAAAACGTTAATAACTTTTTAATTTAAATGAAACACCCTGTATGTTTTTACATAATTAAATAAAAAATTAAAAAACATTTCGATTGATGTAATTATTCCCTATAAATAAATTTAATAATTTTAAAGATATTTAACAATTTCTAATATTAGACCCAGAATAGTCAAGAAGAGCAACGTCTATAGACTTCATTACAATGTAGAAGTAAGGATTAAGAAATGCTTGAATGTAAATAAAGGACACTTTTAACATTTAGTAATAAAATAGTACTAAAAATTGTTGATTTATTAAAATATTTCATTTAATAAATTTTATATTTTATTGTCTCCAATGAGGTGGTGCTTTATCCAGTTTACATTCTATGATTTGTTGATTTTTTTTTTCAAAATTAGCAAATAATGTTTGTATTACTTTTAAATTTTAAAAACGTTTGGATTGTCAATGTTTTTTAAAATTCACTGACTGATTTTTTATCAGTAATTTTGTTTACAAAACACATTAAGTGTCAACAAATTGTTTATAACAACCTAAAAAATGAACGCCATTAAATTTTGTACAATGACAGATTACGTGGTAACCACAGACACACTCGTCTCAGGTTACTTGATACAAAATAATATTTAAAATTTTAAAATTGTTAAATATCTCTGAAATTATTAACTTTGGGTATAAAAGGTCGTCGATAAGGTGGGTAATGGGGGTAATTACCTCCCAAAGATAGAAGAACTAAGAAAAAAAATTACTACAAATATAATTTATGAATGCAAGTCCCTCTATGAATAGTTTTTAAAGTGTGGCATAATAAAAGCCCTATTTTATTACTATTACACTATAGTGTAATAAAAAATTTAAAAAATAATTAACACAACTTTACACGCCCCAACACCAAACTGTGTTATTCCAAGTCTACACGAAATCGTGTAAAATTTTAAAACAGCATCAGTGTGTTGATTTGTTTTTTATATCGTGTAATAATTTACACGAAGAATAATTAAACTTTAACACATTGTTTGTGTAATTTTTACACAACTTTAGATATTAAATGTAACACTAGTTGGTGTTGTTTAATATTTTAATGTGTTAGATTTAACACTAAATTGGGTGGAAAAATAAAAATTACGTTTAAAAAAATACTTTTATTTAAAAAAAATATTTTATAATTTTAATTAGACATAATATTATATAATAATATATTTATATAAAACAAATTATTAAAAACATTAAAAAACAACTTATATTATTGTAGAGTTAACTGTTCTGAGTTAAAAACAAATACTGCCCTGCTTAGCTAAAAGGCATCTACTATATAAAGACTTTTCTTTATTACTTAGTAATAAAGAAAACAAGATCATTTTAATTGTTTAAAACTTGCTTACCTAAAGAAGATAAAATGTCATGTGTTACTGGCAAATTTGCCATTACCCACTATGTTTCCTGAAGTCAAACATTTCATATTACATATAAAGGGGTAAGAAGCAAAAGGTTACAAGTGCAAAAAAGTTATAAGTTTTTGCTATATTGTTTTAATATTGTTGTGTGCATTAATTAAGATGCAGAACTCATATATGAAGATATGAGAAAATTAAAAAAAAAATAGACTAAACTACTCAATTCTGCACTTAACTTATTTTCATGCTAAAATGCACTTGTACCATTTTGCTTCTTACCCCTTCATATGAATATGGATGTGTTTATTAACGTTGTATCACAAAATAAGAAAAACACCAGCACAATATACGCACAGAAGGCAAGACACGCATAAAACAAGAAAACACACACAATGGCGATTAGCTTCGGCACTAAGGGTGGGGCAAATTTTACACGATATAAATTTTAACAAATTTGTTAAAATTTACACAAATTTGTGTACACGATATTTTTTAAATATGAGTTTATAACACATTAACGTGTAAATTAACAACTGGTTACACGTTTTAGTGTTGATTCCCAATTTAGGAACATTCGGGTAAAAGTATTTACACAATTTTTTTACACAAAATTTACACAAAAATTTTAACACAAAAAGAGAATTTACACACTGATATTTTTGCCGTGTAGATGGTGGTAAGGTAGATAGTGAATTTAATTCGGAAAATCGCAATGATTTCGCATCTTGTGCGCATCATCTAGATTAATAATCTCTCGCATCTTGATCGCATCTTGATCGCATCTCTGATGTACTAAAGTCTAGTTAAATATTGATAAGGTTTTCGATCGTTTTGTAAAATGAAAAAAAAACATTATAATTTTATAATTTGAATTTTATATTTAAAAAGATTAACTAGGTAGGTACTTAAAAAAAAAGATATGTTTATGTTAATGAGATATTTAGTTTTGGTACCTTATAATCATTTTCCCTAATGTACAAAAGCAAATAAACAATAGAAGTTTTGCGAAATTATTTTCCTTTTCCTTTTCATTCACAAAAGAAAAAAATATCGACGCCCTTGTAGGTATATGTAACTAAAGTTAATAATTTCATAGATATATATTCCCTAGAGGAAAAAGTTATGTTTTTTTAATTTGTTATTTGATTATGTAAAAACATACCGGGTGTTACATTTAAAATAAAAAAGTTATTAACGTTTCAAGTTTGCCCTGGGTTTTCTCGGGTACTTTGCTGAACAATGTTAAAGAATTGACATAGAATCTTTTAAACAATGTTTTAAGATTCCAAACATTTTACCAGTAAACCTAATATTAAACATCTAGAAAACTATTTACTTTAGGCCTAGGACATGGTAAAGTAATTTTACTTAGAATTGTATGTAGAATTTAAAAATGTTAAAATATTTCAAACAACAAAGTGTCGGCCAAACCAGAAGTGGAATTTTCTATTTCTATTTAAAAAAAAATAGACTTAAAGGATTATAAACGCTTTAAAATTTTGAATCGATATCTTTTTCCGTTCCCTTAAAACTTCCAATAAACCACGAATGTGAAACACCCTGTACATCAAGTGGTGTTTTTAGGTTGTAATACCATTATAGATTCTAAAGTAGTGTATAATCGTCAAACTAAAAAAACAAGATTTGTTTCCAACATATATTTAATATAAGATAAATACAAATCTGTTGTTTTATTAAAAAAAATCAAAAATTAAAACCAGATATATTTTTTTTACTTAAACAAAATTAAAATTATTATCAGCTTTAAGTATCATTCTTGTATTCTGAATGATTTATAACAAAATAGAGAATTAAACTAATAAGAATGGCTGTATAAAAAATTTAAATGACGTGATTTCGTGAAACGGTGAGACACGGGTACGTTTTTTAACCTTTATTTTTAAAATCTGTTAAAATTTTTCATAGGAAAAAAATTGCGTTGAACGGTATAATAATTTTAGAAAAATGGAGTTTCATGCATAGCTATTTATGCGTTAATTTTGCTCTGTTTAAAGTTTATAATTAAAATCAGTGCTCCAGTGATTAGTTAATTGGAAAATTAGAAAATTTGACGCGACCGCTTTCACCCTCATTCAGAAAGAAGCTTACAATATTTATATAAGGAAAATAAGAACCAATGACGGCCAAAAGTTTTTACCGGTACACAACCATGTTGCATGAAAGCTGCAACAACAGGACATAGTTTTAACAAAATAGGTCAACATGCCACACTCCTATAGAATCTTTGGTTGTAGTAAATGAAACTCAATTTACGTAAAGGGGATATTTTATGGCG